CGCAGCCGCGGCCGCGGCCGCCGGGAGCGCAGCAGCCCGGACCGCCACCGCGGTTCGAGTCGGGGTCGGGGCAGCCGCAAGCGGAGCAGGAGCCGCAGCCGCAAGCGAAGCAGCAGCCGCAGCCGCAAGCGGAGCAGGAGCCGCAGCCGCAAGCGAAGCAGCAGCCGCAGCCGCAAGCGGAGCAGGAGCCGCAGCCGCAAGCGAAGCAGCAGCCGCAGCCGCAAGCGAAGCAGCAGCCGCAGCCGCGACCGCGGAAGACGGGGCGGCAGCCGCGAGGGCGGCCGGCGCAAGCGCAGCCGCAGCGACGAGGCGGCCTTCCGCCCTCCACCCTCCTCCACCCTCCTCCACACCCACCACCACCACCACCCTCAACCACCACACCCACCACCACCACCAACACGTCACCACCGCCGCCTCCGCCGCCGCACCACCACCACCGCCGCCGCCGCCGCCGCCGCCGCCGCCGCCGCCGCCGCCGCCGCCGCCGCCGCCGAGCCAAATCGGCGAGGCGCAACTAGCAGCAGCGGCTCACTTCAACAGGCGACGGCCCCCACCGAACCCGCCGAGCACGCCGCGGAGGCGGCGGAGGCGCCGGCGCCGCCCTCCGCCCAGCCGCCTCGGCACGGCGCGCGGGCCATCGTGGGGCTGTGTGGACGGCGTGTCTTCACACCTCTGGCTGTGAACAGGCACGGCGCGCGGGTCATCGTGGGGCGGCTGCAGGGGAAGGACGCGACGCCCGTCGAGCCGGCGCCGCCAGGGTACTGCGACGTGCGCGTGGACCGCGGCACGGCGCTGGGGAACCCGTTCCCGATGGGCCGCGACGGGCGCGACGAGAGCTTCCGCGGCCCTGTGTGGACGGCGTCTCTTCACACCTCTACCTGTGAACAGGCACGACGAGAGCTTCCGCGGCCCTGTGTGCGCCGCCTTCGAGGCGCTGCTACGGGAGGGTGGGCCGTCCAGCCTCGACGCCATCGCCAGGCGCCACTCCGTCGATGATCTCCCCGCATCTCCCCACATCTCCCCATGTCTCCCCCACATCTCCCTACATCTCCCCACATCTCCCCATATCTCCCCATATCTCCCCATATCTCCCCACATCTCCCCATACCCCCCCGCATCTCCCCACATCTCGCCAGGCGCCACTACGTCGATGTCGACGACCGGTACCGCCGGCCAAACGCCGCAGCCGAGCGGGGCGCGCTGCCCGTAGGGCGTCGAGGTCAGCCGAGATCAGCTGAGATCAGCGAGGCGATCCGAGATCTGCCCGTGACAGGCGCGCTGCTCCAGGGGCTGGTTTGCCGCGTCAAGGACAACGGCGAGTCGTTGCGCCTCCTCTGCTGGCGCCGAGATCTAGCCGAGATCGAGCCGGGCCTAGATGCCGTCCGATGCTGCCCAAGCCTCCATCCGAGAGATCGCCGAGAGATTGCCCAGAGATCGCCCAGAGATACCGAGAGGTCGCCGCACCTCGGCCGCACCTCGGCCGCACCTCGGCCGCACCTCGGCCGCACCTCGGCCGCACTTCGGCCGCACCTCGGCCGCACCTCGGTTGCACCTCGGCCGCACTTCGGCCGCACCTCCACCAGGTGCCACCCGAGGCGCTGCCACGCATGGGCGATCGCGGAGGAGGTGTCGCGCAGGGCAGGGCTTCCAGAGTGGAAGTCGAAGGCGATGCAACGGGCTGAGTGCGGCCTGCCAATGTCGTTTGGCGGCGGCAGATGAGCGCTCCAGCCGCGCGGGGCGGACAAGCGCCATATTTTCCACGCGCTTATTCAGATCTCTCTCCGGTTTTCGTCAGACGTCAGCGGGGACAGAGCACACTTGTCAGACACGGCGGCAATCACGAATCAGTGTGTGTGTGTGTGTGTGTGTGTGTGTGTGTGTGTGTGTGTGTGTGTGTGTGTGTGTGTGTGTGTGTGTGTGTGTGTGTGTGTGTGTGTGTGTGTGTGTGTGTGTGTGTGTGTGTGTGTGATTCAAAAAGACAAAGCTCGCGAAGGCTTTCGAAAGCGAGCTCGCAGTGTCGCAGATACCACAGATGATTGCCGCGCAATTACGCTTTACGGCCCTTTCTTCCCCGTCGCTAGTGTCGCCGCCGGTGGTCGCCGGTGGTCGCTGGTAGTCGCTGGTGTCGCCGGTAGTCGCTGGTGGTCGCTGGTGGTCGCTAGTGGTCGCTAGTGTCGCCGGTGGTCGCTGGTGGTGAGAGATGTTGCGGCAAAAAGAAAACTCCTTTGGTTTTCTTGAGCCGCTTGTACGGGGCACGGAAAGAGCAAAAGGTGGCGCTCCTCAAGACAAGGCCCCTACCCCCCTCGGCACCCGAACCTAATCCTGCAGGCGCGCTAAGGTGGTCTGCGTTCCGCCCGTGCCGCGCCGACGGCGCTCGGCGGCACCGCCGGGCAGCCCGCGACGCCTGCACCTCTCCGCCGCGCGACGCGCCGCCCGCTCCTCCCCACCGACCGCGCCGCTACTGCCCCTGGCCCCCTCACTGCCGCACGCGCCGTGCCGCCGCGCTTTCCGCTTCTATTCCAACATCTCGTTCAGGGTTCGGAGGTGGAGGGGCTTTGTCTTGAGCCAAAAGAGCATTGCTCGTCCGAAGAAGCGCGTTCGTGCTGAGGCCCCTCCGACTGCCAAGGTTGCCATCGCTTGGGGGGCCTGGGGACTAACCTCTCTGGGCAGGCGTGCTCAAAGGGCAATCCCCCGGCGCTCAGTGTTGGCCTCATGCGCGAGTTTGTGAAGGACTTCCTTGTACTCGTCTTCATCCATCCAGAGGCTGATACCGCGCTCCTCGCACACGGCCACCACGGCCTCCTTGTTGTCCACGCTGAGCGTCTGCACGCGAGGGGAGGTGCGATGAGCATTGGGCGGGGGAGGGGCGTGTGGCGAGGGGGGCGTCTCGCGCCTTCAAGCTCGGGGCGGCCCCCTCCTTGAGGGCGGCGGCCAGCGCTTTGCAGCCCTCGTCGCCAATCTCGTTGTTGCCGAGATAGAGCGCCATGAGCCGCGGCGCTGCCCCGCTCGCCAGGACCTCCGCCAGCTGCGCCGCCTCCGCGTCGCCCCAGCCGAGGCAGCCGTAGTCCAGCGCGGTCGCCTTGCCCAACTGCTCCACGAAGGCGTCCTCGTACAGCTGCTTCACCAGCGGCTTGTCGTCCTTGCCGTTGGTGAAGCTTTTCGTCTCCAGCGCCGCCGCGAACGCAGACGGCAGCAGCGGAGGGCGCCGGCCGTCCTTTCTGCAGTCGTCGATGAGGCTGCGGTAGTCGTACTCCTTGCCGGCGCGCATCTTGCCGAGGTCGAGGGAGTAGGCGCCGGACCTGGGTGGCGAGGCTCGCCCAGCTGGCCTCAGTGAAGCACCAACCGCGGTCAAAGTACGCGGCCACGTTGGTGCCCTCGGCCTGGTCCTCCGCCTTGTGGCCGTCCGGGAAGGAGGTCAGCCGCAGCACGATCGTGTACGGGTGGGAGTAGAGCGTGCCGAGGCAGTCCAGCCCCTGCTTGAAGAGCGCGTTCTGCTCCTCGGTGCGCATGACGCCGTTGGCGGGGTCGGGGTGCTGGTGCAGCGAGCCAAAGTCCCAAAAGACGCCGAGCCGCGGGATGCCAGAACCGTTGAGCAGGGCCTTGAGCGCCCTCGCGACGCGGGCGAGGTTGGCTCCGCGCGGGTCGGGGTGGTCCTTGGTCAGCCACGGGTAAGAGAGCGCGGCGACGGGAAGCGAACTCATACGATCGCTCGTCGCCTCGACGAGGTGGGCGAGTGAGAGGAAGGCCTCTTCGGGCAGCGCCTGGCGGTGGGTGAGGACGCCGCCCGCCTCGGCGTGGCTGATGATCCACTGCGCGTCGAGGAGGGCGACGGCGCCGCTCGCGAGGACCGGCTCCAGGTCGCCGCCGCCGCTCTCGCGCCACAGCTCGTAGCACAGCTCCCACTTCTCCTCGTAGTCCAGCTCCGTTCGATGGGGGAGGGGTATATGGCGGGGAGCTTCTCCTGGCCTGTGGGGGAGCTTCTCCTCGTAGGCCAGACCCGGCTTGCTCGTGCCGCAGCCCATGGAGATGTCGATTGACCGGGCCTTGCAACTTCCCCTTGCGCCCGCCGTTCAAAGACCGTTACGTCGCTGTGCTTGTGGACTGTCGGCTGCGAGGACGGTCGCATTTGCGCGAGGCGAGGCGAGCATTGCTGCGCGTTGCATGCGCCTTGCCTCGCGCCAGCGCGTGCGGGAGCTCCTGGCGAGCGTTGAGTCCAGGCGAGTTGCGCTGGCCACTATCGCTACGCCGAGCTGAGCTGACGCGCCGAGGCGCCGGCCAGTCGCAGCCGTGAGGCATGCCACAGCAGCAGAGGCACCTGCCACCCATCGGGCGGGCAGACAGAAGGCCAGGGCAGCACTGGCAAGTGCAACGCGCCTCATGTTGGAGAGCGACCGTGCCTCCTTCGACGCTTATGATGTAGAGTTTGTTGTAGAGATTTCACGTTGTAGAGAGCCTCTACATCGCTCTACAACGCAGGCAGTTCGTCACGCGGCGGATGTAGAGCTCTACAGCGCTCCAGAGCGCTCTACAGCTCTACAGCTCTACAGCGCTCTACACTCTACATCCTCTACACCCTCCCTCAGCATAGAGTACTACATACGGCTCTACCGCACTGGGCACAGGACCGGGCACGGGAGACTGGCGCGCACTGGCACTAACAGAATTCATGAAGGCCTCGAAGAGAAGAAAAGCAGATCGCATTGTCCATTGATTGCTCAGGGGAAAGAGGGAAAATCTCACAAAAAGGGCAGGAGCGTACAAAGAACAACTTCGAGCGAAGAACGGTGAAGACTGCACTAACACCAAACCGTGAGAGAGCCAAGCGCGCTCGCGTCCCGAGCGAGAACGAGAGCGCCGCAACGTCCTCAAGCGCGCCACCGAGAGGCGGTCTGAGTGACGTCAAACACGCGTGCAATCTGTGCTCCCCTCCTCCCTACTCCGTCTCGCGCGTGACCGCGAAGCGCAGCACGCACGCCACAAAGTCGCGCGCCGCGATGCCGTTCGTGTTTCCTGCCGAGTCGAGAAGGTGCCGCTCGTGGATCTCGTAGAGCGAGACGACGAGGAGCGCCGCCCGCGCGCGGGCCGCCACGGGGAAGAGCGAGTGGCTTGCCGGCGACCACGGCGCCGCCGCCCGCCGGATCAGCGCCGCCGCCTCGCCCTCGCCGCCCACGGCGCGCTGCAGCGGCGTCGGCTCGCCCTCGTGCAGGCTTGCGCCGCTGCGCAGCAGGGAGAGAGCGCGGGCGGCGGTGAGGGTCTCAAGGTGCGCGAGCGGCGTCCAGCCGCGGCTGGCGACCAGCCAGGCGGCGAGGTCGGCGTGGCCGTCGCGGTTCGCGACCTCCTCGGGTGTGCCAAAGGGCGGCACTGCGGCACGCGAGGCGCCGTAGGAGGAGAGGAGCTTGGCGACCTCGAGGTGGCCTTGGTGGCATGCAACGAGCAGCGGCGTTGAGCCGTTGTCGCGGGCTTGGTTGACCGCCGCGCCGGCCTCGAGGAGCAGCCGGGCGATCTCGAGGTGGCCGTGGTAGCACGCGGCGAGCAGCGGCGTGACGCCGTTGTTCATGGCTTGGTCGACCGCCGCGCCAGCCTCGAGGAGCAGCTGGGCGCACCCGAGGCGGTTGTTGCGGCACGCGATGAACAGCGGCGTGGCGCCACCCTCCTTGGCTTGGTCGATCGCCGCGCTGGCCTCGAGAAGCAGCCGAGCGACCTCGACGTGGCCCTGCTGGCACGCAATGATCAGTGGCGTGAAGCCTTGCTCGTCGGCTTGGTTGATCGCCGCGCTGGCCTCGAGAAGCAGCCGAGCGACGTCGAGGTGGCCATTGTGGCACGCGACGGACAGCGGCGTGACGCCGTTGTTGCGGGCTTGGCTGACCGCCGCGCTGGCCTCGAGAAGCAGCTTGGCGACCTCGAGGTGGCCCATCCGGCACGCCATGAAGAGCGGCGTGACGCCATCGTCACGGGCTTGGTTGACCGAAGCGCCGGCGTCGCGCAGCAGCCGAACGATATCGAGGTGGCCCGGGATGCACGCCATGAGCAGCGGCGTGAAGCCGTCAGCGTCGGCTTGGTCCATCGCCGCGCCAGCCTCGAGAAGCAGCCGGACGATGTCGAGGTGGCCATGCTGGCATGCCATGAACAGCGGCGTGGCGCCTCTGGTGTTGGCTTGGCTGACCGCCGCGCCAGCCTCGAGAAGCAGCCGGGCGCACTCGAGGTGGCCCT